CCCTTCCTCTCAAGAATTTCCAGAAGCTGCTGTTCTCTCATCATTCACGCTTTAGGCCGACCGTAAACCGTTGCTATCCATCCTCGGTTCGAAGGAGGGAGAACCCGTACACGCTGATTCATCATGTCAAGGCTGCAGTCGCGCCGACTGCCCGCACCCTGACTGGCAAGTCCTACTAACATGCCCAGTGTCGGCTGCGCCCACGCCGGTGCGTAACCACGCATGGTCCAATGAATGACCTTCAAGGCTGTGGCCAAGAGTGGCCGCTCGAATGTCTGCCCCCAGACATCACTCCGGAACTAGCCCGCCTTGTGGCTAAACGTAGGCTCCGATCGCCAATACTTCGTCCTTACTATTCTGCTTTCCGTCTCTACGGAATTCACTATTCCTTCTGGTATCACCCGCCTTGGTACTTCTTATCAACACGAACCGGTACGCCAAGAGCCCGTAAGAGAGACTGGGAGAAGACCAGTCTGCCAGACAGAGTCTACGCCGACAAGAGCACGGTAAAGAGCGTCAATGTAAACCAGCGCAAGTCAAGTCAGACACAGGGTGCATGTACTTTAAAGGGGACGCGAGAGACATTGTCCGACAATGGGTCAATTCGGATTGAGCAGACAAGATTGGCTCACGGCAAGCGGCTCTCGCGACACCGTTGAGTGCGTTGACTCATCATGGGACGCGCGGCGTCCCCACACCTTCTAATCTGGCCTTCCTAAGACTTTTCTCCTAAGGAACCCGGCCTGGAAGTAGGCAGCCATTAGTGTTAAACGTTCTTCGCCTCAAAATCACGTGATAGGCATTCCAGTATGTTCATCTAGCTGACTTCAATGATAGGCAACCATTCTTATCGGTTATGATTTTGGTATCCGCTACTGTCGCTCTACGGATTTGGGACAGGCTGTCGCCCTCTTCCGCCTCATCTGCAATCAACACGAACTTAAGGAAGACACTGCGGTTGCCACCGTTTCAATTGTGGACGATGTGTGCCGTCAGCTTTCGAACGCCATACAAGACATACCAGCAACTGACACCGACAGCAGACGCGCTACCAAACAGGACCCCATAATCTGCCAAGTTATCACCAATGTAAAAACCAGTTGGCCAACCGCTTCACTCACTGATGATATTTACCATATCCTTCTTCGTCCTGCGTCGCTATCTATGGTCCATTCCTGCCTCCTGTTTGCAGACCGTGTGATGATTCCGCCTTCACTTCGACCTGTTGTGTAACGCCAGT